CGCGCGGGACCCCTGCGCCGCCTTCAGCTGCAGCAGCGCCCGATGATACTTGCCAATGGCTTCCCGGAACTTCTTCTCCCGGTAACAGCGCTGACCCTCCGTCTTGAACGCCACAGCGGCCCGGCTCCGGGGCTGCGCTGAGCATCAGCACCGGGGACAGCGCGCCGCGCTGCATTGTGGGAAACTCCTGCGGGCCGCTGCTGCAGCTTTCTCGCTGCGCCCCGCGCCTGTCCCCACCCTTTCTCCGCCCCTTCACCTCCGGTAGCCGCCTTCGGCTGCCCCCTATGGGTCTAGACCCCTCAAGACTTCCCCACTCTTCTTCAAATCAGCCCAGCCCTCATTCTCCAGCCCACCTTTTCCTCCTTTCCACTCCCCCCACCCTTCTGCCTGCTCGCCTTCCTCTACCCAAAGCTTTCTAGAAGGAAAGGATAAGTCTGGGGAGGAAAACAGGAAGATTTCAACCTCGTGAAAAGCTGGTTTTCAGCCCACTAGGCATTCGGCATGTTGGATAAGGATACAGGCTTTGGAATCAAGCTGCCCAGATTCAATTCCCTGGGTTTTTCCTCACTAGTTACATATGACTTGGACAAATCACCTAAATTACCTGGAATTCTTTATCCTCCTCAGTAACATGGATGGAACAATGGTAGCAACTTTGAAACTCATTGGTTTATCTATGCAACAAACAAATATTCACTGATATCTTCTCTGTGCCAAGCTTTGGGCTGGGTGATGCTGGGATACAGCAGGGATGGAGGGAGCTTCCGGCCCTATCCTCATGGAGCCCCTAGTCCCGTGAGGAGACAAACCAGTAGCCAGCGACAGCCCAGAGTGGCTAGCCTGGGAAGCTCAGGTGAAGTGGTCAGGGCAGGATGGGGGAGGTACAGGCAGAGGGTCCAAGCCCCAGATGGAGGACACACAACAGGCTCTGAGGGCCCAGAGGAGGTGTCTGCCCTAGACTGTAGTGGTGAGTGAAGAAAATGTTTGTTATGAATCCATGGATCTCCAAGAGGAGGGGATAACTATGAACAAGAGAGATCTGCTTCTTGACCTCATTGAGCTCACTGAGTAGAAAAACCAGTGGGAATGCAGGTGGCAGCCCAGAGTGAGTGGTGCAATCGTGAGAGTGAACAGAAAATAAAACACGTTAGAGCCTTTGGGAGAAAAACTGAGACTGAAAGAGAGGGTTGTCCTTCCGCTCTCTTTAGCCACTGACTTCGCAGTGGGACCTTGGGCAGGCTCCTCACTCTGCCTCCAGCTTGCCTTCCACCTGTGCAACCTGGGGATTACAAGTGAGCTTGCTTCAGAGGAGTTGCAGGGACTGGATTATGTTATGCAGACAAAGCACTTAGCACAGGGCCTGGTATATGCTGGGAAATTAACACCCTGTGTTTCTTATCATCGGTGAGACTAGGAGACAGGTGAGCATAAGTGTCCGGCTCTGAGTCAGCATCCATCTATGGTTGTTGAATGAATGAAAACCTTATGTATTACACCCCCACCCCACAAGACCCTAGCTGGGTCTCAACCCCAAGAACCAAGCCTGTGTTTCCACTGTCCCTCTCCCCTCCTCTCCCACATCTCCCCCAGGAGGTCCCGTGGCAGGTCCCACTCCACATTCCCAAACCTAACAAGGCACCTTCCATTCCAACAGCAGCATCTGCTTTTATCTCATTGTACTTTGCTGAGTGAGGTTCTCCCCCATCCTGTCCAACCTTGAACATCTTAGGACAGAAACTTCCTCTTACCTGCACCTTCAAAACCTGGCTTGGTTAAGAATCTAATATTCCTGCGGTTGAATTCCAGAGCAGTGAGGTCATCTTTCTGTGCCTCCGGTGTTTTGTTTTAATTAAAAACATGGAGATCCATTGATTCATAACAAATATTTTCTGAGCACCTACTAAATGGCTAGGTGCCAGGAATTTGGTAGAAACAGGACCACTGCCACTCACTCACAGTCCTGCAAGGATGCAATGCTGGCACTTTCACAGCACCTACTAGGTGCCAGCCAATGTCCTAAAACTTTGTGAGTATATTAACTTACAATCTAAACACACCACAATGAAGTTAAGTAAATCAGATCCCATTTATCAAACATTTGCTATCAAAGACCCGTAAAGCCACAAACAGATGACCCTCGCAGGCGATGTGCTGGGCTTGTGCAACCATTTAAAAATACCGAATTCGCTGCCAACGTAGGAAAGCAGAGATGTTTAAGGAATTGCAGGTTTTCAGCTTCACTTGAACAACATCTGAAAACCTGGTAACATCTAGGTAGAATTCATGACTGGGGCAGACATCCTCCGTTTCCCGTAGCCCCTCCCTCCTAGATTCTTCCCAGCTCTGAGTCTGAGGGCCGTTCAGGTTGCATCGGAATTTTCCTCTTGGCCTCTCTGTCTACCTCCCGCTAATGTTTGCGCTTGGGATCCCAGTTTGATCCTGCTGAGCCGTCCGGGCTAAGCCCGCCAGTGCCCCCTCGCGGAGGAACTCGTAATCTTCATCATTAAGGGAGTTCGTGAGACCATCCCACCCCAGGGATGAGGCCCGGAAAGTAACCAATCAAAAGCAAGAGATGGACCAGAATTTGACCAGTAAGGACAGAGAGCGCTCGGAATAAAAGAAACTCTTTTATTGAAGTGGGAAACGGACACACACTGAGACTTTTTTGATGGGGTGTCGGGGCTCAGGGGGGCCCCGGCTGGGGACAGCGGAGCAGGCGGGCGGCGAAGAGGCTGGTGCCCCGACGCTGGGGCCTCGCGTACTTCAGGAAGATGGCAGCACGGCCGGGTGCGGGGCCTCGGAGCACCGCGCGGGCCATGCACGGCTCCAGCGGGCCCAACTCCGCGGGGCTGCGAGGAAAGGGAGACACTAAGGTGGATGCAGAGGGTGGCGGTGGAGATGACCTGTCCTTGGAGCTGGGGCTCGAGGCCGAGAAGACACGTTGACTTGGGTCCCGGAAACCTTCCGGGGCACGTGGCCCATCATCTGGACTAGAAAGTGACTGGGGGGCCGGCAGACCCTCGATTCTCCCCACAGGGCGCCGTTAGAGAGCGCCAGGCAGGGCGCTCGAAGAGGGAAGGACTGGGGCTGAGGACGGACTGGCATCCGGCTCTACCCCGTGGGCACGGCTGGGAACAAAGACAATTCGCCCAGCCCCTTGGTGGCACGGTTAACAGGGAGAGGGGCTCTAGCAGCTAAAGGGACACCCGTTTATGATTAGAGGCTAGCAGACTCTCATTCTCAGCAGTCCCATCTTCCGGGCTTGGGAGAGCCTATATTCCACCCTGGACAAGATTAAGGGTCCCCCAAAATGGACAATACCCCACTCTCTCAGACCCGCCCAGAGAAAAGCCAATGGGATACCCCAAGGCTAGGCAAATACCCCATTCTCTCTTATGCCCAGAAAAATCAAGTCTAGGTGTCATCGTGCCCTCCCCCCCAACAACCGTTTCTCACTCTCTGAAGCCGCCACGGGGGAGGGGGGGGGTCCCTCTGTGGCCATACCTGTAAAGTGCCGGCTCCAACCCAGAACCCGCCACGTGGAGCACACGGCGCGCCAGGCTCAGCGCCGCCGCTGCGCAGCGACTGGGCTCCCACCCAGCGGCCTCGACCTCCAGTAGAGAGAGTTCCAGGAAGTAGGCGGCAAGGAGCATCACCTGCCAGAGCATCACCTGCCAGACCATCAGGCCCACGTCTGTACCGCGCAGGCCACGCCCCTCGCCGCGCAGGCCAACCCACTGCCCCCGCCCCTCGCACCTGGGGGTTGCTCCCTGCCAGGGCAGCCAGTAGCTCCAGGCAGAGGAGTGGACCCGGGTGGTGCAGTCGGAAATCCAAGCGGCTCAGGATGCGGCGCTCGGCTCGCAGCAGCTCGGCCTGGGAGAAGGAGCCAGCGCCCAGGAGGCAGAGGGCGGCGGGCTGCAGATTGGGGAGAAAGACCTTGGCCGTTACTCCCTGCCCTGGGTTCGGGTCTGTCCGCGTTCTGGACCTCAGTTTTCTGGTCTGTAAAATGGGACCATTGCTTTGTTGTGTGGAAGTCTGGGGGAATATAGGCTTCAGAGTCAGAGAAACCTGGATTCGAGTTCAAACCCTATCACTCACACTGTGTGGCATGGACATCCAGGGCGCTGGGACGCCGTTTCTTTATCTGTAAAACGGAGATATTGCTCCTACTTCAACAGGCAGTTCTGATAATGCACTGAGTTTACACATGTTAACTGTAACCACCCATTAAGGATTATAACTACTGTAACTAAGTCCAAGTCCCAACTACTTGACTTTGGGCAAATGTCTCCCTCTCTCTGGGCCTTAGTCTCCTCCAATGTTAAAAGGACACATTGGCAGCCCCGACCTCATCAGATCTGCTGGGATTCCAAGACGATATGAAGTGTTTGCTGGGCATGGTGCTTGGCACACAGTAGGGCGTTTAACCTGTGACTGCTGCCAGGAGAAGGAGCTGCACGCTCCTGGTCCCGCCCCGGAAGTACCTCGGGAAGCACGCACTCTTCCATCTTGCACGCCACGAACAGGCAGGCCGTGCCCAGCAGCTGCAGGCGGTGTAGGCGCACCCGGCTGCAGCGCAGGTAGGAATCGAGCAGGTGCACAGCCAAGTAGAGCGTGTCCCCCGCCAGGCCCAGGAACTCCTGGGGAGGGGCGCAGGTTACAATCAGGCTGCCACGCAGGCCCAACCCCACCCCCTTCTTGGTACCTACGTCCGTACGTACGTGCACCTGGACCAGCCAGTCCACCACTAGAGCTCGCATCTCTGGGGTCACGGTGCGGGGCAGGGCCATCTGGGGCAGCGCAGGGCACACCTGGGGTTAGGGAGGGGCGGCCTAACTCTCCACACCTGTGCCTCAGCCGCTCTCCTAAACGCCAGCCCTGGGTGCGGCAGCCTCCTCGCCCGTTGGGGGCAGCATGAGTGCCAGACGAAACTGGCCTGCAGCGTCTCCCGATGTGCTCCTCTTCCATAACCACCTAGAACCCGGACTCTCTACCCCGCCTCCCAGTCGTCAGCCCCCAGGCCACAGGGCCTCCTGAGCACACACCCCCCGCCCCTGCGTCCCCAGGCAAATCCATCCTCCTCACAACACCCGTTTTCTAAAGTAGAAATCTGACCAAGGAACTCCCAGCTTCAAACACTTCCTCCGCTTCCAGGACCCCCCGGAGAAAATCTAATTCCTCTCAGACTCTCCCAGGCTGTCCTTGCTCCAACTCACCTCTTCCCTCTCTCTCCTCACACTCCAGCTGCCCAGCCTTCTTTTGGCCCGAGGCTATGCCAGCCGTATCCCTACCTCAGTACCCATGCGTATGTGTCCTATTCCCTCCACCTGAAGTGGTCCATCCCCAGCTCCTTGCATTGCTGACTTCTAGTCATTCATGTCTCAGCTAAACCGTCCCTGACTCTCCATGCTCCTCCCTATCACATCACTTTATTTCCCTCATATTATTTCCACTCTGGAGATGGCTGCTTCATTGTGTATTTTGTGTGTCCAACGAGGCTGCGGGCACCACAAGGATAGGGATTTCTGTCCAAATCCCACTGTGTCTCAGCTCCTAACAGAGACCCTGGCCCAGAAGAGATGTTCACAAGATGCGTGTCACATTAATTCATCCCTGGAGTGTTTCTCTGCCAGCGTCTGTCACAGCCTGTGTTTGGGTCTTCGTGGCCCTTCTGACGTGTTCACCTACACTTGCTTGCTTGCTTGCCAATGAAGACAGACTGCGCTGTTCGTCCCCAGTGCCTAGAGCATGCTCCAAAACATCTTACATTTACTTTGAAACTCTGTAACGTTTGTAAGGCACAGGGAGGATAGAAAAAAACATTTGTTGATAAATTGCTAAATATTTGTTAAACGAATAAGTGTGAGGGATGCGTAAGAGGGGTCTGATGTACAAAGGAGGAACTGCAAACGGCCTGGGAGGGTGGGAGCAGTCATTCAAAGATAACTGTGCAGGAAAAACCGGCCGGGAACTGGGGTGGGGTTGGGAAGGGGCAGACAGGCTGGCGGGGGCGGGGTCAGAAATGCCCATCACACGGACTCTAGGCGAGCCCGGCAGCTCTGGCCTGGGCCAACCCACCCCCTGGGCTGTCCTCGGGGCTTGGGGGCTCCCAGGGAGTCTCCCCGTCCGCCTCACCATGACCTCGGCGAAGATGTCCCCCGCGTACTCGCGTTCTCCCTGCAGCCCCAGCGCGCTCAGCGCCTCCTGCAGCCCCAGCGGCGCGCACCGTCCCGGGGGCCTTTCCGGGGGTCCTGGGGAGGCGCTCCTGCCCCC